CCGAGGTCCAATGTTCAGCTTCCCGGCATTAAAGGCTGAGCCTCGAACGCCATTCGACTCGACAAACCGCCCCCGTGAAAGTGGGCCCCGGCCCGAGTCTCCACGGCAGATGGGACCATGGCAACATCGCCCTGCGCCGCGGATTGAATCCGCAACGCAGCTGGCACCCCACAACTTTGACCTGTTACATCTTGAGCTTCCCGGAGAAGAGTCAATGTCATGCGCCTCTCTCTCTCTCTCTCTCTCTCTCTCTCTCTCTCTCTCTCTCTCTGCTTCGCAAGACCCTCGGCAAGCGCATTAATTTCTGCTCCCATTGTCATTGCTTGATCGGTGGCGCCACGCCCTCGAGGGTTCGCATGTTGCAAACTTGCAAACGCCTCTTCATTCGCGCGATGAACCAGAGCAGCTTGTTGCGCCGCCTTCTCTCGCATTGCGTCTTCCGCCGACCGATTAGATATCCTCCCCTCCATCACTGTCCACTGCGCAGACTGTTGCATCTGCGGTTCTTTCGCTGACCCCCCCCCCCCTCTCCCCCCCCGCGAACGCCGCCCATTTCCATCCTCTATTGCCCCGCGGACTCCTCCACTTCCTTCTTTTGCCCTTCGGCCTCCATCAAGGGCAGCTCGACTGCTTCCGACGCAGACCGCCTGCCCAGGCGAGCTCGCTGCGCGGCCTGTAGAAGAGCCCCCTTCCCCATGCTTCACCTTCCAGAGTTGTTCGCCCTTCTGCGCTTAAACCGGGCGAACTTGCGGGGCCAGTTCTTCGAGAAGTCTCGTTTCATGGGTTAACCTTTTCTTTCGCTTCATTCGTTTCATCGGTTAACCTTTTCACTGGCAAGAAAAGCAAGACGACGACATCTGCGCTCTTTCATGTCGATGCATTCCGATTTAAACAAATGAGATTGCTCTGCTGGCGCGCAAAGAAACGACCGCCGCGGCGCGCCTGTCGAGAACTTCGCTCGCTTTCCCGGGGCGCCCATTTCCCGCCGACGGGCAGCGCCGCGGCCCTCGGGCCCAACAACTACCTTTCAACGAAGAGACCCCGGAAGATAACCCACGAGATCCTCGACTGATCCTGGGCCTTGCACCTTGCACCCGCTCTTGCTGCTAGTGGCGATCGAGATGCAAATGTTTTGATCGCATTATGTGGAGACTACATCGAAGTCGGGATCGGCCCTGGGATTTCTTGCGCGGCTGGGCAATTCTGATCGCCGAGCAAACTGTCTGCCATGCTGGAATCAGTCATTGAAGGCGCCCCCAGGCACGTTCGGGCGCGCCGGCAGGACCGCGAGCGGCCTGGGAAGATTGAACCAAGGAACAAGCGGCTCCTTTGGCACGAGCGACAAGTCACAGAGTGTGCGCTGAGCGCCCGTGCGAAGCTGCGCAGCACAGACGGGCGAGCAATGTGGCGCTGGCTCTTACCGAAGTACCTCATGCGGACGATCGGGATGAAGTGGGCAAGGTGGAACCGCGCAACATTCCCCGCGTAGATCACGATCAACGGCTTCTTCCAGCACCGCGAGCGGGCTGTCCAACTCCGCGTTCTTTGGCGGCGTCTGGATCTCAAAAAAGGAATGTCGGGCCACTCGTCGCCGTCGCTCTCCGCCAAACACAAGGAGCGCATTGCGCGCGCATGCTAGTGGCCCAGGGACATGGGGGCACGTGGCCGAGCGCGCCAGTGGCCCCATTGCCCAGGGAGTCAGCAACTTCGCTGAGACAGCGACGGCCACGACGAAAACGAAATCCCCCCGGTCTAGCCATCAAGGAGAAAGCAATAGCACAAAAGAAACCAGCGCGACCATCGAAGACTGCCCAGAGCACAGCCAGCTGTCTCCTTACAGGGCCAACCCCCCTCGATGGCGACGCCATCGCGCACGTGCTCACTCTTTAACACGAGAGCCAACGCGAAAATACATGCATACCCGTGCCATTCAGCATCGATGGACGACGCTCCAAAAAGCAAGCGATGAATGCAATGTCATGCCTGGGCCCCACCATGATCACAATGGACAAATCCACGCCCGGCATGAATATCATCGCGACAAGCCCCATCAAACAGGCAAACGCCCCCCCCCCCCCCCCTCGATCGTTTTCGGCGAGTCGGAAGGGGGCGCAGCACCTGAGAAGGCGAGGTCTTGCAGCATTTCACTTCTTGCCCTTATTACCAGACCTTCAGAGCAACAGCATCCACGAGGTTTGAACTGCGCGGCGCACGCGAGGAGCTGGGAGATGTCGCAGACATGGCCAATGTCGAATCTGACATATATCCAGGAAGGTCGGGGCGAGATTCCGTAAATTCCCTGCTATAGGTGCCGCGGCCGGCTTCGACGATCTCGCCGAGGCCCGCGACCAGCCGGTGCTCGTTTTCAAGATCGCTCAGAGCCAGTCGCCCCGAGTCACCGGCTGCCTGCTTGCCCCTGCCACCTAGGCGCGAATTAGTCAAGACAGCCTGCGACGTGGACTGAGGCTTCAACGCGCTGAGACTCCACCGCTCGGCCCGCGCATCACGCGCGCGCGATCTCCTGGCCCCCGGCAGCTGCCCGCCCCCGCCCCGCCCCTCAGACGCGAAGGGGCGCGCGGCGCTGTCGCGCAGCAGCTCGCGCGGCGAGCGCAGCAGGCGCTTCGACCAGCAGCGGGCCCAGCCTTGCCAGCGGGCGAAGAGACGCACCCCAGCGTCACATTCGGCGGCAACTCTTTCGCCACCTGTCGCGCAGAAGCCTCGGCATGCTGAGATTTCCAACGAATCGGTTTCTTCTCGCGCCAGGCTCGCTCATGTAGACGGTCAAACTGGCAGATCATCATTCCAAGGTCCGCAACAGTCGAAGCAGACGGGCGCTTGCTTGACGCGACCACGTTGAGACGCAGTACGCAGGGACCCATCAATATAACGGCCTTCTGCCGTAGTGACGTCAGAACCGAATGCAAGCCCCGTCGGGGCACTCGCCTTCCTTCACAAAGAGCGAAGACAATTAAGACGATGCTGCGTCGCCAACGCGAGGGGCAACCCACCGCATTCAGAACGCGAGCCACGCGTGCACTCCCCAAATAGAACAGCTTCCGCCTGAGACTTTTTCGGCCCCAACTCAGCGTTGAGATCCGCCCCCATCACAACGGCGTCGCCAGGCATGTTGAAATGCTGGGGGCGGTCTGGCAGAAGCGCTGACCATAATGAACCTAGGGGAAGTAAGCGGATAAAAGCATAAACTATATCACATCCACGCGGGAGTGCTGAACCAGGAGGCCCCTGTGACCTGCTAGTCAAGACGAGACGACATACAATTCCTGCAGCAGAAGCACATCCCACTCACATTCCTCACCCTGAAATTCTAGAGACTGTCAAAATTCTCAATCGCTACACCACAACAGTTCAGCGTCATCACGTCCACAGACGGACTGGTTTTCTTTCCCCACGATTTGGCACCACACCTCCTCGCTCCAGAAAGAGCGTCCCTGTCGAAAATATTGTTTGCTTTTTCTCGATCCACTCCTGGAAGATCTGATCAAATGCAAGGTCCGGTTGCTGCAGATCCGCGCTGCAGTTGGCTGAGCAGAGAGTGGGTTGTCCACGCATACTGGTATATGCAACAACCTGCATTTCCCTCCTGGCATCGGGCAATCTGACATCTTCCGTAGAACTGATAACCTTCACTGGAAAAGAACAAGAATTGGACACTCGATGTTTGCCCTCTGCCATTGACAACGCCATCATGTTCACGAGCGAAAGTGCGATCCGCTTCAATTCCATGGTACGGTGCGTGTTACGCAATATTTGCATGAGTGTATAGCGCCTTGCCGCCATCATACCCAACGAAAATGTTTTTTCCCCGGCGCAATCACGATGTTTGCCCACGAGAGCCCAGGTAGCCCTCATCATCTGTCATATGCTGGAATACACCATGACAGTACCTTTGTCTCAATATGGCAGCACATCACCGTTTCCCGAAGCTTCAGGAAGAAAAAAAAAATAAAAAAAAAAAAAAAAAAAAAAAAAAAACGCTACTATTTGGAGAGCGTCCTCCCCCTGGGCTGCATCCGGTTGTCCTGGAGTCCTCTGCGTCGCCGCCGCAAAAGCTGCACCCGTAGGTCTGGAACCTGCTGCTGCCGACTGTGCTACACGTAGCGCGTTGGCTGCGCACCGACATCATGGACGGAACGTTGTCAAAATGAGGGTGGCCGAACGGTCATTCACTGTCCCTGTGTGCGTGGCTGAAATGAGATTCCGCGATGCGGATTATTGTTGTTGCTGGTTGCTGTTTGGCGTCGTCCCCCTTGCGACCCACCCAAACCCCGGCCCGCGACCCACCCGCGACCCTCCCGCGACCCACCCCTGCGACCCGCCCGCGACCCGCCCGCGACCCACCCCCGACCCTCCCGCGACCCACCCGCGACCCACCCGCGACCCACCCGCGACCCGGCCCGCGACCCGGCCCGCGACCCACCCGCAAATCACCCGCGACCCATCCGCGACCCATCCGCGACCCACCCCGCGACCCACCCACATTGCTTTAAAGAAAAAACAGCGCCTGCAGCGGGCCCATTGTAGAACTTGCAAAAATTGGGCGCCTGCGGCGGGCGTCTTCGGAGCCTGAAAAACCCCAGACGTCCCCGCCGCCCCCTCTCTCTCGTCCCCGCCGCCCCATCTCTCTCATCCGCAACTGCGGGGGGTTACGCACCTTCTTCATCCTGTTGCCCATGGGCGCACTCATTCCCGGCATGAACAGCATGAAGTCTGCACTGATGACCCCTTCGCTCCCACTTCCAACTGCCACATTCCTTCCACCTGTCATCACCATCAGTAACCTCCCGCTTACGCATGGGAAAAACATTTGCTCCACGTTTACACGTCACTGCGCATGCCTCGACGGACCGTCGGCGCGCGCGGCGCTGCAAGGCGGGAGCCCTTGAGCCAAACAATGGCGGAAGAGGAGTAAAAGGGGAGGGAGGAGGAGGAGGAGGAGGAGGAGAAGGAGGAGGAAAAACAGGACGACGACGGGGGAGATCCTGACGATCCTGCTGCGCAGCACCCTGCCCAACCGCCCCGGGTAGTGAGGCAACGCGTGGCGCCACGACGCATGGCGGCGGCCCGAATACGACCTTAGGCGGGGCACAACTGTTCTGATACCGCTGCTCCCCGGACCTTCCGTGGAACGCATTCGGAATATAATCTCGAAGCAAGTATGGCCATGGCGACGGGGGGAGCGCAGCGGTGTCGGTACCTTTTTGAAGGGCGACGCCGGGGGGGTGAACTCAGGAGGAAAACCATCAAGCTGGAGTCGGCGATGGATCGCCGATAAATCGGCGATAGGCCCACGAGAGCAAATCCCCCCGTTCCTGGGCGGGGTCGGCTACTGGGTTCGATGCAAGCCCCTTCTGGGCCTATCCAAGCCGTGAAGCGCGAATTGCGATCATCCTCTCGCCCCGGCCTCTGTGGGCGACCTGGATGTTCGAGGAGCGAGGATCAAAATTGTTTCCCCTTTTCTGAACGTTTTGAACGCTCTGTATCTCTTGGGCTGAGGGTGGGGTTGGGGGAGAAGGAGGAGGAAGGGGAGGAGGATGAGGAGGAAGATGAGAAGGAGGATGAGGAAGAGGAGGAGGCGGAGGAGCAGGAAGGGGAGGATTATAGAATGGAATAAAATGTCGCAATGGAGCTCCAACTAAAACGATATAACAAACACGATGAGACCTGTGCGCTGCTTCTGTAGCTTGACATCGCTTGCAACGTAAGAGGCTTTTCGGGCGCCCCCCGCGATGCTCCATATCAGGCGGCCCCGAAATTCGGCGCGCAGCCTGGGAAGGTACCCAGCTGCGGAGAGCCAAAATCAACTCTCAGACACGCTTTTTCGGGCAAGCCTGATCGGACGATCTTCACCCCTGTCAGCCACTTGCTCCAAAGGAGTAACACATGTAGTCAAGGCAAGGGGGGATGGTCCGAGGTGCGAAGTAGTTCCGTCTCCCCCTCTCTTCCACAGCGCCCACGACCCCCACGGCGACCACGACCACAACCCGAACCTTTTCTCTTACTACACGTTGGCACAGCCATGGGGCGAACCATAGCAGGCACCACAGGGGTATCGGGATGGTCAAACGTCGACACCGCTGGGGTCTCCGTAGCCCGCCGAAAACATGTAGCACCCCGCAGTTGCGGATAAGATTGAGGGGGAGGCGGGGACCACATCGGTCTGCGAGGCTCTGAAGACGCCCGCAGCAAGTGCCTAATTTTTACGAATTGCACAACGAGCCCGCCGCAAGCGCTGTTTTTTCGTTAAAATGATGTGGGTGGGTCGCGGGGTGGGTCGCGGGGTGGGTCGCGGGTGGGTCGCGGGTGGGTCGCGGGTGGGTCGCGGACAAGGTCGCGGGCCGGGTCGCGGGTGGGTCGCGGGCTGATCGCGGGCGGGTCGCGGGGGGTCGCGGGGGGGTCGCGGGCGGGTCGCGGGCGGGTTGCGGGCTGGTCGCTGGGGGGGAGGTCGGGGGGGGTCGCGGGGGGTTCGCGGGGTGGGTCGCGGGTGGGTCGCGGGCGTGTTCGCTCTGGTGTCGCGTGGAATCCCCCCTGAGGAATAATTCCTGGAGCGTGGCAAAACGAGCAAGCCAGGAGGGAAGCGGCCGGGGCGGCTGGGCGCGGCGGAAGCGCAAAGCCCGCCGACCGATTTCTTACCGCACCTCAGGTCGACGCACAGGCCCATCCATCTCCGCGCGCAGGGCCGCCGTCGTCGAACTCGACGCGCTGGGCCTGGCCGCCCAGCCAGCGCCCCGTCGGACCCCGCGGCGCCGGCCCAAGATGGCCTCCGCCAACTCCACCCTGGCAAAGTACTCCTGGGAGAAGGGGCACACAGTCTGCGCGCACTTGAGATCCTGCATATTCAGAGCCACGCTGAGGGCCCATCTGCACGTCGTCGCCATCTGTCTCTGCCATCGCCCGCCTGTGCTTGCGCTGGGTCACGAGCGGCCCAATCGGCTGCGGCGTCTGGACCTCCGCTATCTTGTGCCAGTGCTCCGCGAAGGCCGCGCAGCCTGCCGGGCGCGCTTCTTGCCGTCGGCGGCATGGTGGCGGAGGGCGCGCTGGGCGAGGGGGGTGAGCGAGGCGACGCGCGGCGGGCCTCGAGCCTCCCAGTCGATCTCGTCGCCGCCCTCCTCGCGCGACCCCGTCGCCTTGCCGGCGTCGCCGCGGGCGTTGTTCGCGCCGGCGCAAACCGTGCCCGAGGGCTCCGCGCTCATGACATCCGATGAAAAAATCAGCGCTCTCCAAGAACGCCGCCTGCGAGTCTCGCCGCCCCTTGAGCCGCGACCTCCGCGCCGCCCTCGCGCCCATTCTTCAGGGCCCCTGTCGCGGGGGCGCTTGGCGGGCGGAGCGAGCCACGAGGGCGGGCGCGGGGCTGGCGGGCGGGCGGCTTGGCGCGCGACGGCAAGTGCGAGAGGAGGCGAGAGCGGAGGTCGCCGTAGTTCACCCCCTCGAAATCGCGCGCCGGGCGCCCGCCGGCACCGGGCTCGGCAAGGGGCGCGCTCGACGACGCCCGCCCGCGACGCGAATCTACCCGGAAGCGGGCGCGCTGCGAATGGCGACTCGCGAAGACCTGCGCGGCGCAGAACCTCTGGCGCGCGACGCGCGCTCTCGCGGGCGCGGGCGCGCTAGCTAGCAGCACTGCGCGGGCGGCGCCCGCGCCGTAGACGCGCGGCGAAGGCGCGGCGCGTCGAGGGGGAAGCACCGCAAGCGACCCCCGTTCTCAGGCGCGCGCGCGCGAACGCCAGCTCGAACGGCGCGCCCCCTCGCCCCCGCCCCCTCATAAAACTCGCCTCGCTCGCCCGCGCCGAACTCCGGGGCATTCTCGCCGAGGGCGGGGGGCGCTGCGTTGATCGCCAACATCACAGCCGGATGCGTTCTGACATCTGGGGCCGCGAACTCCCCCGTCGTCTCCCCCTCCTGCAATGGTTCCCACGGCGCGAGTGGCGATTTCCCCGACGGCCCCGAATGCTCCGGGACAGCGGTCGAGGCAGCCCGCGGGCCGGAACGCATCTGAAACGCCCGAGGAGACGCAAGCAAGGGGGGGCAGTGTCGAGCGGGCAGGGCTTACAATCGTCGGGCTCGATTTCAAGCAAAGAGAACAAGACTGCCCGAACGCGCTGATGCATCGCGGGGCGAAGCGCCGACGATCAAGCCGCTGCAATCGTCGGACTCGCGGCGCCGCCGAACAAGGGGCGACGCTCCAAAAAGCAAAGGCCAGAACGTCTAACGACTCCTGCTGGTCAGTGGCGCACAACCAAGACGCCACTCCACGTGCCGCGATGCGCCCCAGCATAGCAATGCGGGCGCCCATCGTACGGCACCGATGATCGCGCGGGCTACGACGCTCCATGGCGGGCAGCATGGCGCTCCGAACCAGGGGCAAGAAAAGCTGGCGTTTCCAATTCCGAAGTTTTCGCGATGACCAAACTCCACCCGTGCTGTGTAAGAGACCGGCACCGCGGCCGCGATTCCCCCCTCGAGCTCGCGCGCAGTCGTCTGCGCGAGCGAGGTGGCAGGGCCAAGATATCCAGCGACGTCCGCCGCCGCGCCTGAAAAGACGCCTGCGATGCCCGCCCACTGCTGGCACGCCGTGGCCGCGGCGACAGAAGCTCGCGACCGGTTTATCCCCTCCCAGCTGCATGCAGCCCATGGCCAGCGCTGCGCCGCAGACGCGGCATGCCTGTCTGAGTCGCGCCGCGGCGCCGCGCGCCGCGCCGCCCAGCCAGAGCAGCAGGGCGCGGCCAAGGTCGCCAGCGCAGGCGCAGTGAAACAAATCGGCTTCACCATCACGAGGGAGCGCTCCGCGGGGCAACTCGAAGCCTGACGTCGAATGCATGGCGGCCGCCGGATTGCTCGCAGGTTCCGCACAGGAGCCGGCCAAGCGTCGACAATGGAAAGATCGCCCATCAGGCCTACGACTCCAGGCTGCACGTTGACGATGCCCTCGTTTCCCCCTATCTCGGTTTCTTCGCCATTGTGATGGGCCTTGCGCAAGCTCCAATCCTCGGGCCTGGCGTTGCCCCCTGTCGTCGCGTTTGACGCCTCCCACGACGCGCTGCCGAAGGCGCGGAGGTCCGCCATCGCGTTGGCGAAGCATGCCTTTGATCTTCGAAGTCGCCAAGACAAGCGCTGCGCAATTAAAATGGCGCCCTCCCGTCTCCCGCGCTCAGCGCAGCCACGCGCCTGAGGTGCCACCCAGATCGAGAGCCGCATTGTGAACGACCCCATGCTGCTGAACAGCAGCGGGCGCATGTCCCGCTTGCCCGGGGCTTCAGGTTCCAAGTTGCCCTTGGCCAACCCATGTCCAACGCTGCAAATCAAGAGGGGCGCCATATCCACCATGCGTGTCGCGGCGACGCCGGGTAGCAGCAGCTCCTTGAAAATACCCACTCGCACCTCCGCCTTCTCGAACCCCAGGCAGCGGCGCCCCCCCCTTCGTCTCTGCGTCCGCTGAAAAAAAAAAAAAAAAAAAAAAAAAAAAAAAAAAAAAAAAAAAAAAAAAAAAAAAAAAAAAAAACAAAAAAAAAAAAAAAAAAAAACCGCAACTGAGCAGGAGCGGTGCCGGCGGGGACAGAGCGTTGCTTCGCGGTCACCCCGAAGTGGGGCATCAGCGCCGCGTAGTCCTCAGCAGCTCCGTCGGCGCGTTCGCTCTCTGCCCGGCTCGGCACTGCTGGCGGGGGAAGCTCGCTCGTGCTGCTGCGCCAACCGTGAAGCCCAGTTTCAGGTACCCATGCTAGGGGGCCACATGCGAACCCTACCCTTACCCCCCACGATTTCTGAGGGGGAGGGTGGGGTTCACTTCGCTTGGGAGCTCCCGAACGAAGTGAACTCCCCCCTCCCCCCTCAGAAATCGTGGGGGGTAGGGGTAGGGTTCGCATGTGGCCCCCTGCATGCGAAACCTAGATCCTTTTACCCAGCGTTGTGATACCAAGCCTGCGTCGATCACGTGACGTGTCCCGAATCGACGTCCGGGTGTTGTCGCGGGAATCGGGCGGCCGCGTGCGTGCGCGTCCGCCCTGCCATGCCTCTCTCACCTGCCCAGTGAGGGCCTCCCTCGCTGCCAACGTAGAACGCCGTCGCTGTCGTTGGAGATCTCGCGATAGCTCTTCGTCTCTATGTTAATCGACTTGGTGGTCTGATCCTCTTTCCCCCATCTGGCCACACATTGAACCCCATGCACATCAATACCAGCCTGCAAAGCCACCGAACTCGAAGTAGCCCTGGGAACGGAAGGTTTGGGGGGCCGACCACTTGGCGAGCAGGCTCGCCGACGGCAGGTGCAGCGGCGCCCTTCACACCGTCGCCCTCAGTGGTCGGGGCCCTACTTTCCCCATCCTATTCGGTGAGGCCGTTGCCGCCGTGGAAACCGGCGGTCCGCGAGCCCGCTCCAAGGTAGTTTTCGCTTGCAGTAGTCGTCGTCGCTCAACGCATCCATAGGAGCACGTTCATGCCCGAATCGGAAGAATATCGCCCAGATTCCTCACGGTGTGGCATCTCCTCAACCGATACATGCCCCGTTCGGCAAGAACCCAAATTCGAAATTATGCATGTAGACGCTGTGGATGATGACCAGTAGGTGTTTGCATATGGGCCAAGCAACGGCTCAGATGTGATCCTCTGTTCCAGCAAGTGCTTGGTAGACTCACCAGCTCCGTTGGGCCTTGGCACATGTCTACGAGTGGCGCCAAATGAAGGATAGACAGGCTCCGTCCAGACTCCAGCTTTTACGTGCGCTCCGATGCCATCGTGAACGCCCGCATGGCATAAAAGCACAGTGCGGCAGTTCTGTCAGTTCCTGATCGTCTCATGGTGAACTCCTTTCTCCTCGTGGGACCCAAGACTCACTGTCACACTCGTACCGCCAGGCCCCTAACAGCGAACTCTCGAGGAAGTACTCACGTCCGCCTCACATGTCTTTCCAGGAAGCCATTTCGAGGTATGGCCGAGCATCCAGTCGCCGTCGTTGTAAACGGTCCAAGCTGACGGAATGCCTCCAGAATGGTGCGTCTTTCCACCAAACTTCGAAACACTCACTTGGCCCTGCGGCGTACAACTCAGCAGCACCGCGTCGTACGTCACGGTATCATATATAACATCGTGCATTATGACACCGCTCGCCCACGTCGGGTTACACCAAGTCACTCTGAACGCAGGGCCAACCATCGGCACCACCTGCTTGCGAATGGCTGCGCCGAGGCCGTCGCAAAGGCAATGGGGCTGTGCGGCGCGAGTGCGCCAAGAGCTCCACACTCGTTTTGGCAAAATGCTCGAGCGAGAAGGGCTAAGATGAGGAGGAGGGGGAGCAGTAGGAGGAGGAAAAGGAGGAGGAAGAGGAGGAGGAGGAGGAGGAGGAGGAGGAGGAGGAGGAGTTCGGGTACCCTGAAGGGGCGCGAGCCTTACGTTTAGCGCCAGACGAGGGCGCGGGCAGCTGCGCTCGCCGAGGCGATGCCTTGAGGAGGAGGAGGAGGAGGAGGAGGAGGAGGAGGAGGAGGAGGAGGAGGAGGAGGAAGAAGAGGTAGAGGAAGAGGAGAAGGAGGATGAAGAGGAGAAGGAGGAGGAGGAGGAGGACCCCCCCCCCGACGTTGCCCCTGAGTTTATCCTCCTCTGTAGGCCTGTCCGTCGTTGGGGGGGGCGGCCGCTCGGACGCGAGCACGCGGCCCGCGAGCACCAGCACCAGGTTCAGCGCCAGGGAGTCGGTGCAGAGCCAGACGATCGGGAGGGTTATCGCGCCGCGGGCGGCGACGTCCGCCTCTGGCCAATCAGAGGTGGAGGGGGTGCAAGGGCATTGGGCAAGGAACACTGACAATCAAATAAACACAAAAACTCGGGGGTCCGCACGGATCCTTCGGATCGGCGCTGGAGGCCCCCTGGCGGCGCCTGCGGCGACGCCCCTGGCGTGCTCCGTGAGCCAGTGACAGGGCTCCGGCGCCAACCCGAAAAGTCCGCGCGGACCTCGGAAGTTTATGCTTATGCCATGGCTTAGTCCCCGATGGACAAGGATCATGGGTCCACTAGGGCTCCCAACTTCGCGCTTCGCGCTGCGCGAAGCGCGAAGCGCGAATAACTTCGCGCCCTCGCGCCGCCCCCCCAAAGGGAGAATAGGAGGACGAGGAGGAGGGGGAGGAGGAACGAGGACCGCGAAGCGCGAAGCGCGAATAACTTCGCGCCCTCGTGGGAGCCCTTGTTTAGTCCCCGATGGACAAGGATCATGGGTCCAGGGTCTGGAGGTCCATGGAATCCCAGTCGTGGGTTGGCCATGGATTCACCGCTGCCCTCGTCAGGTCAGGAACCACACAGGGTCTGAAGCCTCCGGGCCTCTGGCCAATCCGTTTACGTGTTCGGCCATGAGCCCCTTGTGGCTCATCGCTCCTGGGCCGCCTTCGGTGGTGTTCTGGCGGCCTTCAGAAGTATCCTGAAGGTATTTGACAGATTCTGGCGGACTTTGGGGGCTTCCAGCGGCCATCGGCGCGAAAGCTGGATGACTGCGTTCAACAAGCGGTCCATGATCGAACACATAAACAAACAATGTCAGGAGGCAAGTCCTGGGATGTCTTCCTCGGAGCCGCTAGTGGCCATTAAGCCAGATGACAAGGCCACTGAGCCCGATTTGGCCGTATGACACCTGGGACTAAGCCGGATCAAACAGAAGTAAGCGGGACTGCGCCGGAATGCGCTAGAGGAGGCCAGCTTTTTCGACCAGGACATACTATCGCCGATTCTGAGTCTTACCTCCCAGAAGCTGCCTCCCAGTCAGTGAGGGGATTGGATACTGATGGAACGGCCTCGGGTAGTGAATTATTTTTTTATTAGGCAGCATAGAGGACCACTTCCTGAAATATTCACCCGCGCGTGATAAGTACGTATACTACACTCGAGAGCTGACAGGTCACTAGTGAACCCTTGGAGAAGGAACCCAGGGTCTGGAAAACGATGGAACACCAATCGAGGCCTGCCCATAGATATCACCGCCGCTCTCATACAACAAATCCTCAAGGATCTGAAGCCTCCCCTGGCAAATTCCGCCACGAACGCCCCCACCGTAGCGAATCCGCACGTACCTTGGCGGGGTACAGTCGAGGCGTTGACCTAAGGAACCCTAAATGAAGAACGAAGCCCTTTTTTCTATAAGTTAAACTTCGACTTCCGATCGAAAACATAAGGAAAACCTGAGGCAAGCTGCGAAACACTTATGGAACGCGGAGCCCCTCCCCAACGAAAAGGGTTCCTTCTTGAGCGCCCCGACTGTAAGCTTTCGGGCCCCGGTCGTCGATGAGTGGGCCATCGGGGGTCGATGCATCCCCCCCCCCCCTGGGCCCATTGTCCCCCAAGAGTTGCCCCTGAGCTCTTCGTCCTTGGTCGTTCTGTGGCGGTCCTTGGGGTCCAGGGAGGGCGCCACTCTCTGGGCCCCTCCTCTTCACGCTGAGCCTCGTCGCCCGCTTCGCTCCGGGATCGGCCCGCGCTGGTCCTCCCCGCGGGCTCGGGACGTGGGCACGGCAGGCCGCGGACTGCGAATGAGCTCTCTGTCCTCCAGCTCCTCCTGCTCGTCCGGATGCCCCGTGCGTGCTCCTCCTCATCCTCTTCTTCCTCCCTCCGCTTCCACCTCTCAGAGCGTCTTCGTCAATTCCGCTGTACTGCAGCACGCGCCATGGGACTAGTGAGCTAGAGGCTCACGGGCGACGAAAGAAGTCAAGTCAACTCGACTATGACTCCACTCATTCTTCCTCCTCCAGCTCAAACTCCCTCGTTTGAGATGGTAGTGTTGTCGGTGGACACCTTTGTTGGGAAAAGATGGGGGGGCATCATCAAGCCAGGTTCGCTCGGTATGCGGGCGAGCCAGATCGAAGCAAGCTTCGTTTGAGCCATCGGTGCCCCCCTCTTGTGCGAAACTTTTTGACTGCTGTGTGGAAAGAACCACCCCGCCGTTGAGGGCATGGCAGGCCCCTTGGGATCTGACAGCTTGAGTTGACCCCTAAACAAAAACTAGCACTTTAAGTGGTGAGTGACTTGTCCCAGGCTACTTTAAAATTGTTTTTCGTTGCTGCTCTTTGATTGGCAATTGGTTGGATGGAGCACCCGACCCCTCCATCATGGGAGCCTCCGTGTGTCACATCGTGGCATATAGTGCCAACTAAAAGCGCTCACAGCTATGCCAGCTAGCAGGCTTACTAGATTCGATCAATGCATTGTCGGCCAGTCTAGGCGGGCACCCACTGCTATGTTGACGATTCCTATGCCAGTGTTTCTCGCTAACGTTCGGTCCTCTCCTGAAGAAGGTCGTTGTACACCCGGGAAGGGGGCTCACCCGCCCATGGCATGGGGCCCATACGTAAAACGTGTTCGTGCGGCGCTTGCAAGACTCCAGCTCAGTCGACGATGGAGTCTACGATGTCCTCTCTTCTTGCTCAGTCCTCCCTGCTAGATAAGTCGACCCTGAAGAGAAAGCGGAACACGTAGCTCTTTTTCCATGATTGCCAGATCCAACGTGTATTAATGCCAATGCACCAAAGTTCGGACAAGCCTTCACCCGGACAGCGAAGAACAGCTTCAAGTCCGCTGCAGCACCTCATGTGTACCAGAATCCTGCGTCCTTTTCTGCAGGAAACCGTGCCATCGCCTCGAAAACATAATCAGAGGGCTCTCATCACACAGCGTTAGCTAGCTGCTGCGCAAGCAGCTCAGGGTGATGTGGATCAGCAATTATGGATGAGTTTGTTTCTCCTCATCCGCCTCTCTCTCAGCCAGTTCAGTTGTCCCCAAATGTGCTTCAAATGATTGCGGCCAATCGTGCATCGTGCAGCTACATTTGAAAGTCGCAGAATTCGTAAGAACCAAGACGGTTTCGCGAGGCGAGTGCCAATATCGATTGCTGGACGGTTTGCCCCGACCCCTGAGCCGCCTCCGTATCGGTTCAAGTGGATTTGCACAGATGGTTTGGGCTAACATGTAATGGTGTCTAGTGCCGCTTGTAGGTGGGGGTGAAAATTCGTCCTCCATGATTCATGTAATTATATACCGTTCCTTGTTTGTGCACTCCCCTGCCATTCCACATTCCAACTGGCCTTCCAGCATTTCCACCCCGCGTCGCGCCCGCATGCGGGGGCTTCGTGGGCGCCATGCACGCCGTCAAGGGCGCGTTCGAGGAGATGAGGGGAGGCAGCAGGGAGGAGTTTCAAGCAGTCTGAACTTGTTTACATTTTTGTTCCAGGTCCTTGGGCTTCTATCTTAGAAATGCGGTCGGGGCTGTGATCCCTGAGCTTTCTCGACCCCTTGTGGGGCCAGCCTCGACAGTTCGGCCCAAATGGGCTGGGCGCTCACCTGGCAGGAAGAGCTTGACCTTTCCTTCATGGAGAGCCGTTCCGTTCCTCCTCCTCCACCCCCTTCGCCTCTTCACCCCCCTTCTTCTGACCCCTAGCCATACGCCCCTATTCTTCTCCCTTCTGCATACCTCCTCCCTGTCGCGGCCCGAAGATGGTCGAAAGGGCGGGCCAGGCGCTTCGCCTGAGACTTCCACCCCACGTCTGATTCAGAAGATACAAATTTGCAAAACGTTCACGGATGGAGGGCGGACCGGTTTCAACATGTGGCTCTCGCCTTAGCGCCGCGCACACTCGTCTGAAACAATTGCAAACGCTTCACGGAACAAGGGCGAGTTGTTTTCAAAATGTGGCTATTGCTGTAATGCCGCGGGCATTCGTTTCAAACAGTCGCAAGAGCTTCACGGATTGAGGGCGGGACGTTTTCGAAATGTGGCTCGCCTTAGCGCCGCGCACAGTTGTTCTCAACACTTGCAACAGCTTCACGTTTTGAAAGCGATTATGTTTTGAAAATGTGGTTATCGCCTTAGCACTGTGTGGATCCGTTAAGAAATTGCAAGGGTTCACAGATTCCCATGGTTAGCGTATCTGAAATGGTGTTTGGGAGCGGTCCAGGATTGTCGGGGTGCGCGACAATCACGTTGGTTCGCTGTGTTGAAGTAACAGGAACGGCGTTCTGGCACGATTCTGGATCGTCAAGACGCAGCAATCATGTTGATGTGTGGCGTTGAAGTTCCGAGAATGGTGGCTCGGTACGCTTACGGATATTACAACAGTTGTCTCCCAACTGGTCAACCCCCCCAGTGGACATGAGTCCCTGTAGGTGCCTATGAAAAAAAAGGGAGCTTGGAGGGATGGATTATTTCAACCTCGTCGATGAGTCTTGGGGGTCGGACTGGTCCTCGTCCTCCTCGTCCTCCCCCTCTTTATCATTCTCATGTTCTGCAATGGCCGCCTTCCCCTGCTGTATGGCGCTGGCAATGATGGCCGTGAAGAAGAAGAAATGGGAGATCGCGCCGACAATGGCCGTCATCAGAGGCACGGGGGCCTGCCTCAGGACGGAGATCACGGGCGGCAGCTCGGTCCGTATGAAGCGTTCGAACTCCTGCACGCTCCCGAACCTGTCCGCGATGTCCGCCAACAGGGCCTGCCTGTGCGCCTCGAGGAAGCACTTCGACCTCTCCACGCAAAATGTGGCGAGCTGCTCCCGCAGCTTCCTCCTCCCGTCCATGTAGGCGTTCGCAAAGCGCCACAGGAAGAAAGACGGCACAAGGTACAGACCAAAGAACATCATCACAAAGTGCACCGCCACCAGGTAGGCATACCTGGTGATCCGAAGCCGATGTTTCAAAAAAAGCGCTTCCCCCCCGTAACATCCGTCACGGTGGGGGTCTGGCCCACGTGGCGGAATGACGAGAACGTGGCGGGCGCGGGCATGCTACTACTAGCAGCACCGATGGTGCTTGCACGGCTAGCAGAAGTAGGAACAGTGGTAAACAAACAAGCACGACGACGACAACACCCAGCGGCAATTACAACGACAACGACAACGACGACGACGACCCGCCAAGACGTCGACGACGACGGCGCCGACGAAAGGCGATGGCGACAACGACGACCATTGGCAACCACAAGAGTAAGAAATAATGGTCGTAGTCTCAATTGTAAAAAAACAGTCGTATGTACGGGTAGTAGTAATAGTAATAGTAGCAGTAGTAGTAAAACATAGTCGTAGTAATTGTAGTGGTAGTCGTAGTAGTAGTCGAAGTGGTAGTGGTAATGGTAGTGGTAGTGGTAGTGGTAGTGGTAGTGGTAGTGGTAGTGGTAGTGGTAGTAGTAGTAGTAGTAGTAGTAGTAGTAGGAGTAGTAGGAGTAGTATTAGGAGTAGTAGTAGTAGTAGTAGTAGTAGTAGTGGTGGTAGTAGTAGTAGTATGGTAACCATAGTAGTAGTAGTAGTAGTAGTAGTAGTAGTAGTAGTAGTAAGAGTAGTAGTAGTAGTATTAGTAGTAGTAGTAGTAGTAGTAGTAGTAGTAGTAGTAGTAGTAGTAGTAGTAGTAGTAGTAGTATTAGTAGTAGTAGTAGTAGTAGAAGTAGAAGTAATAGTCGTAGTAGTAGTAGTAGTAGTAGTAGTAGTAGTAGGAGTAATAGTAGTAGTAGCTAGTCGTCGTAGTCGTAAGTAGTAGTGCTAGTCGGTCAGTAGTCGTCGTCGTCGCTCGTGTCGTCGTAGTCGTCACGTACTGTTGGGCGGGCTGTAGTAAGTCGTACTACGTGGTAGTAGTAGTACATAGTAGCAGAGTAGTAGTAGTGTAGTAACGTTCCGTACCACCAACGAATAAATCCTCTCCCCGAGGGTCGTCGCTGCAGGGTCGCCGTAGTAGCGTCGCCGTGTAGTATTCGTACTTAAGTAGTAGTAGTAGTAGTAGTAGTAGTAGTAGTAGTAGTAGTAGTAGTAGTAGTAGTAGTAGTAGTGGTAGTAGTAATAACAGTAGCAAGAATAATGGGCATAGCACAAAGAGAAGGAAGAACAATAATAGCAGAGGGTGCCGTGCTAGAGATAATAGCAGCCGCCCGCGAGTAGGTGTCCGACGTGGTAGTAGCACTACGAAGACTAGTAGCAGAAGTTGTCGTGCTGGGGCTCGTGCTAGTACTGGAAATTTGGATAGCAGACGTCGTGACAACAGTAAGCAAGACTAGAAATACTACGGAAGCCAGGAATAACAGAAGTTCTGGTATTAGTACGAGTGCAAGAGCGACAAGCTTTTAACGGGCATACAGGTACCCGTAGTAGGGATAGCCGTAGCAATCGCAGTGCTAGCCGGAGTGCTAGACGTGGCCGTAGAACTACCTGTTGAAGCGATATTGCAATAGTGCTGCGACTAATCGTATCACTATGTAGTACGTGGTACGACGTGCTAGCCAAATTTAGAGCTGGAGAGGCAGAGGGCGTAACAATGATACGGAAATGAGACATAGCAGTCGTAGTGGACATGTACGTGCCCGTAATGTGAGTAGTAGTGGTGGCGGTTGTTGTTGCCAATTGTTGAATAATTTCCCGATGTAGCAACATCGGTAGTGACAGTCGTAACAGTACTGGCAACCGTTGGTTGTTAGTGACACATCAGATACAAGTAGTAGCAGAAGTGAAGATATAAGCACGAATGCATCGGCGACTCGCGTTGATTGAGATACACATGCTGCTAATATCAGCCGTAGCACTTGTAGGTGTAGTGCTAGACGTGGCCGTATAACTACCTGTTGAAGCAATGTCGGTCTAGTGCTGCGACTAAACGTACCACTCCGTAATACGTAGGGCGGCGTGATCGCAACAGTGATACGAAGAGCGGCAGTAAGAGTAACAATGGTGCGATTCTTAGGCATAGTAGTCGTGGTGGAAGCAGAAAAAGTAGCCGTACTAGCCGTGGTAGTTCTTGCTGCTGCTGTACGTAGTGGTAGGGGGCCCGCTGTGTAACAACAGTAGTAGTAGTAGTAGTAGTAGTAGTAGTAGTAGTAGTAGTATTCGTAGTAGTAGTAGTAGTAGTAGTAGTAGTAGTACTAGTAGTAGTAGTAGTAGTAGTAGTAGTAGTAGTACTAGTACTAGTACTAGTACTCGTACTAGTAGTAGTAGTAGTAGTAGTAGTAGTAGAGTATGTAGTAGTAATTAGTAGGAGTAGTAGTAGTAGTAGCTGTAGTGTAGTAGTAGTAATAAGTAGTATAAGTAGTACTATCCGTATAGTAGTAGCTAGTAAGTACTAGTAGTAGTAGTAGTAGTAGTAAGCACGTAGTAGTCGCGTAGTAGTAGCTATAGTAGTATTAGTTAGTAGTATAGTAGTAGTAGTAGTAGTCAGTAGTAGTAGGGTAGTATTATTAGTACTTACTACTAGTAGTAGTCTGATAGTATTAGTAGTCAATTAATATGAAAAGGGGGTGAAGTATATATGGGGGGGATAATAAATAATAGTGTAGTTAGAGGAAGAAGTCGTAAGTAAGTAGTAGTATAGTGTATTAAGTAGTAGTAGTCGTAGTAGTATAGTAGTATAGTCAGTATAGTAGTAGTAGTATAGCAAGTAAATAGTAATAGTAGTAATAGTAGTAGTAGTAGTAAGTCGTCGGCTAAGTAGTCAGTAGTAGTCTGTAGTCGTCGTAGTCGTAGGACAGTCAAGTAGTAGTAGTAATAGTAGTAGTAGTAGTAGTAGTAGTAGTAACAGTAGTAATAGTAGTAGTAGTACATGATGGCCGCGAACCGAACCGAGAACCGAGAATCAGCCCCCGAACCGGACCGGCCGAACCAGACCGGTCCTCGACCCGAACCGGCCGAACCGGGCCGCGCCAGACTCTGACCCGAACCGGCCGGACCGAACCGGCCCGACGAACCGAACCGGCCGAACCGGACCCCCCCTCGGGGCTGGAGGGGCGGGGGGACCTGACCCCCCTCAGGACGGCGGGGATCGGAGGGGACCTGACCCCCCCTCAGGACGCGGCGGGGGCGGGGGGGGGATCTGACCCCCCTCAGGACCTGACCCCCCTCAGGGCCCTCTTGGAGCCTTGCGGAGCCCGCCTGGGAGGCCCAGGAGCGCCCCCAGCGGGCCCCGCGAGGGCCCTTAACGCGCATGTCGTGCGCACGTCGTGGCCCTGGGGCCCAGGACGACGACGACATGCGCACGACATGCGCCCTTGGGTCCTTCTTGGGGCTCTCTTGGAGCCCTCCTGGGCCCTCTTGGGGCCTTGCGGGGCCCGCCTGGGAGGCCCAGGAACGCTCCCAGAGGGCTCCGAGAGGGCCCTTAACGCGCATGTCTCGCGCATGTCGTGGCCCTGGGCGGGACCTGACCCCCCCTCAGGACGGAAGGCGAAGGCGCCGCGGGACCTGACCCCCCCTCAGGACGCACGGCGCCGCGGGACCTGACCCCCCCTCAGGACGTACGGCGGCGCGGGCCGCAGGACCTGACCCCCCCCTCGGGACCTGACTCCCCCCTCGGGACCTGACCCCCCCCCTTGGGACCTGATCCCCCCCTCGGGACCTGACCCCCCCTCGGGACCTGACCCCCCCCCTCGGGACCTGACCCCCCCTTCGGGACCTGATCCCCCCCCCCGGGACCTGACCCCCCCCCTCGGGACCTGACCCTCCCCCTCGGGACCTGACCCCCCCCTCGGGACCTGACCCCCCTCTCTCGGGACCTGACCCCCCCCCTCGGGACCTTACCCCCCCCTCGGGACCTGACCGCCCCTCGGGAACCCTGACCCCCAAACCAACAACTCGGGACTGACCCCACACTCGGACCAGAACCCCCCTCGGGACCTGACCCCCCCCCCTCGTTACCTGACCGCCCCCCTCTGACCTGACCCCCCCTCGGAGCCTGACCCCTCCCTCGGGACCTGACCCCCCCCCTCGTTACCTGACCCCCCCCTCGGGACGGACGGCGCCCCCCCTCAGGATCTGACCCCCCCTCAGGACGGGACCTGAACCCCCCCTCTCAGGACGACGGGGGACCTGACCCCCCCTCAGGACGCCGGGGATCGGAGGGCCGCTCCCGCTCCCTCGTCCCTCCCTCTGCCGCTTCCTCCGTTCCTGCTGCCCCCTCCCTCCCTCGTCCCTCCCTCCGTCAGCCCTCCTCCGTCGCCCCTCCTCCCCCCTTCGTCCCTCCTTCCTCTCTCCTCCCTCTCTCCTCCCTCTCTCACACTCTGCTGTTCCCGCTCCCCACTCTGCACGTCGTCGTCGACGTCGACGTCGTCGTCGTCGTCGTCGCCTCATGTCTAAGAACTCGGGGGTGTCTTGGAACCGGCCGAATCGGAAACCCTCGGCCGAACCGAACCGGCCGAACCAGACCGAACCGGCAGGACCGAGCGACCGAACCGGACCGGCCGAACCGGACCGGCCAATATACTCGAACCGGACCGGATGGACCGAACCGGACGGCGATCTGAACCGGACCGGCCGCACCGACACGAAGGCGCGCCGAGCCGGACCGAACCGAACCGAACCGGGGCCATCATGGTAGTAGTAGTAGTCGTAGTAGTCGTAGTAGTAGTCGTAGTAGTACCCGTAGTAGTAGTAGCAGTAGTATTGGTAGTACTAGTGGTAGTCATAGCAGTAAACATAATAGTAGTCACGATAGTAGTAGTCGCAGTAGTAGTAGTAGTAGTAGTAGTAGTAGTAGTAGTAGTAGTAGTAGTAGTAGTAGTAGTAGTAGTATCGTAGTAGTATACTACACGACTAACTACACTACTACTACTACTATACTACTACTACTACTACTATAGTATAGTATACGTAAGTAGTAATATTAAGAGTACGTAGTA